ACGTATTTAGACCTTCTCAACTTTAATTCTTTGAGCATTCCTTAAGGTTAGTATCAGTTATCCCAATATTCAGATTGGAAGAGTGAAATTCATCAAGGTTAATCAGCATGATTGCTGAGCTTCTCCCACAGGTGCTGGTGAGGAGTCAAGCATTCAGGAACCATTAGCTACAGGGCTGGGCCCCCGACTCATTTAGGAGCCTCACCTCCTGAGAAGGTGCTCTTTCTCGGAAAGCACAAGATTTATGATGGAGTGTAAAAAGCCTCCCTCCATTTCCTTCCTGTGTCCTAAACTACCTGTGTCATCCCCACACGCAGAAGACTAGCCCCTAAACAAGCAAGGTTTAACCAGAGTGTAGGTAAAGCTTTGATTGGCAGTCCAAAATAGCTCTCCCTGGCTGGCAATAAGACTTGACTGTATCCTATTCACTGATGCAAGCATCATTTCTAAATATATAGACATTTGCAATTAACTTGGATAATGATGGTGAGAGAGAGGTCAAGAGATAAAAGGTGAGACATAATCAGAGGTCACAATTAAAATAAAATCAAGGACCTATTATCAGTATCTCCCACATGAATACCTTTCCTCCTCTTCCATCAGAGCATTCAGCCTGTTTAGTTCTCTGCCATTTCCTTATAAGAAGAAAGGGGACTTCACTTTATTTAACAGAATAAGTTTTAAAATGCAAAGACAAAATAGTTTCAATCTAAATCAATTTGAAGGGAAGGGAATGGGAAAGACAGGAAAATGAATCGGACATAACTTTCCTATGAATAAACAACCAGTGTAACTCCACATCATGTACAACCACAAGAATGGGAAGTTATACTCCATGTGTAATATGTCAAAATGCATTCTGCTGTCATGGATACCTAAAAAGAACAAATAAAAAATTTTAAAAAATAAATCAATTTGAAAGTAACTTGAATCTTTGAGAGGAAGGCTGTAATGTTGAGTGATGTACAAACAGTGTGGACCAGGAAAATCTACTTAAAATAAACCCATAAAAAACTTAAATACGCACTTCTTCCTTGATGAGATGGGGAGGTGCCTGTTGGCCTGTAGGGGCACACCTCCTCAGATCCCTGTCTGACAATAGTAATTCCAGCCAAAGTGATGCTTCTGGTCTTTCTCAAACAAGATACCACCACTTGCTCAGTATTTTCGAAAGGAGTTCCTGGCCCTTTCTAGTCCTCGTCCTATGGCTCGAAGAAAGAGTTGAACTGGGTAAAGTAATAAGCCCTTGAGCTCTGAGGGTGACTATGAGGAATTTTAACTGAACCTTATGAGAACTGAAACTTTAGGGTCTCTGGTAGAAGTCCTATTATCGTTTATTTCCTTACCAGAAAGTTCTGTTACCATTTGTTAACTGAAAAACAGAGTTGCAGAGGAGAAGGAGCCTAGCTTCCTTTGAAGAGATCTCCCAATCTGGAAGAGATGTTCCTGAGGATGAGATTTAGGATATTACTGCTTTAGTCAGTTCAGGAAACCACCTCCCATGTTCTCTGGTCAGGATGTGTCTATATCAAGTTTAAAACTGTTGTTAGGGAAAAAGAATAGATATCTGTGCTTTTACTAACCTTAGGGTCAGGTTCCATTCATTTGTGGAAAGAAACATATATAGGTTGGTTTCTGGTCCCATTCAAGTGGTTGACATACCTCCTTCAGATTTGCTCTCTGATTTTTCATGGTCAATTTGAACATGTTTGGGCTGGAAACCTTTCAGCTACAGTGGATGAGCTTATTGTGGGATTTCCTGCATCCCTGTCTTTAATGTCAGTTGGGGCTTCTTGGTGAGGTTTCCCTGGAGAATTTTTGTTCTGGCCATTGTTGTCCCTAATCACTGATAAGTTTTTGTCTTATAAACTAGATAGACAACTAGTGAATATCCTTCAGTCTTTTGTTGAATGATTTAGTAGGAAAGAAAAAAATAACAACAACTGATGTGTGTTGGGTGATAAAAAAAAAAAAAACAACCCAAAGTCCTTATGTAAGAAGAAGACTGAACTCGGAGCAGAAATGGGGGAGTTGACTTCTGATACAAGAAACATACTTCATTAGGAGGGAAGAAGGGGAGGTTTCCAAATGATGGCTTCTCCTTACTCAGTGAAGCACTGTAATTGGTGAAGAGTGATCAAGTTTCAAAAATAAGCAGTGGACTAGTCCTCTCAGAATGAGGAAACTATTTCTGTGTTTTAATTTTGTCATACTGGAGATCAGACCAGGGTCTCCTGCATGTTGAGTAAGCGCTCTACCACTGAGTTGCATCCCCAGCCCCAAGAATGGTGAAATCTATTTTTTAAAAAAATCTATAAGATTGAAAGTGACTGTTGATTATCTGAGATTTATAGTCTTGAATTTAACTAAAACCAGACAAATTCGTTTTGTGATTTTCTTCATCAAGTTTAATGGTACAACATGGCTAGGGTGGACTTGGTTTCAGAGTTGAAAGCATCTATGAAGGAGTGATTTAATACTGGGCCATGGAAATTAGCTGGACAAAGATGGAAGTAAAGGAGAAGGAATCAGGTGGATCCTGAGAGATTGACAGGGAGAATGAACAAGAGGTTGTAAGAGAAGTAAACACAGGAGACGAGAGCACTAGAACTAGGGGATGAGAAATATGAGCAGTGGTCCAAGAGTGGGATGCTTCGAATTGACATTTCCAGGTGATAATGGTGATGAGCTCTGAATAACTTAGAGGATGTCTATGGCCATACCACCCTGAATGCACCCGATCTCGTCTGGATAACTTAGAGGAAGAGAAAGAAAAAAATTCATTATGCTTGTGGAGGAAATGGAAGTCCAGCTCCAAAATAAGTGAGGAAACCTTTCTTTATGGCATCTATGCTATGGATCATCTCAAATCCTCACCTGGAATTAAGTGATAGGGGCCACATGAATAATATCACCAGTGGATTCGTTGTGGGTCTACTCTCTAAGGGCCATATTAGAAAATGAACCCTGCCCACCCAAATTCCTTGTTACTCTGAGGATATTGCTTGGGAAGTATTTTAAAATGTACTAATGTTCATGTCTTGATTAGTAACAGATAGGACTCCCATGACCTTCTAGGTGGAGACATTTTTCTACAGTATGCAAGATCCTTCCCATGACCTAGCTCTTAGTTATATGTCCCATCTCATCTCTTGCCACTTGCCTCACTACTCCATACTCCCCAGAAGTTCCTCTCGAGCATCAGTTCAAGACTGTGTACCTTTACAAATGCTGTTCTCTGTCTGGCATGAAGTCCCATCTAAAAGTATGAACATCTAGGTTAAATCCCTTGAAAAATGCCACTTTGTACCAGGTGCAGTGTGGCACACCTGTAATCCCAGAGGCTCAGGAGACTGAGGCAGGAGGATTGCGATTTCAAAACCAGACTCAGCAAAAGTGAGGCACTAAGCAACTCAGTGAGACCCTGTTTCTAAATAAAATACAAAGGAGGGCTGGGGATGTGGCTTAGTGGTTGAGTGCTCCTGAGTTCAATCCCCTGTACCCAAAAAGAAAAACAAAATGCCATTTGGACAAAAGACAAAAAAATTTGTCTCACATTGGCAATTCCATATTGTTAGTAATTTGCTACAACAGTTGCAGTTTCAAACCATACATTATTGCTAACAGCTGCCACTTGATGAGAGGTAACTCTGTGCTGTGTTCTTGACATTCCCTGTGTCTTAATTCCCACAACAAACCAAAAAGTTACATGTAAATGCTTCCATTTATTAGACAAGGCTTCTGAGACTTAGAAAGGCTTTTCTAGTAGAAGCCAATTAAAAAAAAAAAAAAAAAACTGGTGGAACTGAGTACTGACTCCAAAAGCAGAAGTCATGCAATGAATGCCCTTGTCTTTATCAAATTTAATGCTGTATCTGCAATATCCAATACATACGTGAAAGGGAGATGAACTACAGCTGGTAATTCTTCATCTGCCAGTCAACTATCCTATCAATTCCAAGATTAGCTCTGTTCAGAGCCCCCAGGTCTCTAAATTCTACCACCCCATGGTGGCCGAGTATCTCCACGTTGCATTTGCCTTGGTGAATGTTCCCATTTCCCTGGAATTGAGAAAAACAAATTTTAATGGGTGAAACTAAGATTCTTCGATGCCCCTAAAATCTTAATCCTATAATTGTTACATACCTGTTTTAAGTCATTGCCTTGATCCATATTTGCCAGACAGGTTCCTAATTGCTGATGTGGCATTGAGAGGGGAAAACAAGTTCTTTAGATCCTGAAAGGAACATAGGCTTGTGGAAGCAAGCGGGCCAAGTTGTGGTGTAGTGCAAACAGGGGGCAAAGGCCATCTTGGTTCATTTGCTAAACACTCTTTTTCTTTCATGGACATAGAATTTTCCTGGCATTACAGTGGTGCTCTCTTGCTCAAGCCTGGGAATCTGTTGGCAAGTACAGTGCAGTGCAGTTGCTCTGATGTCCTAGGTTTGGCTGATATTCTTTCTTGATTAAATTTTTATTCTGTAGTATTTCACTGAGTTTCTGATGTCAGAGTCCACGTCAGAGGTTCTCAAACTTGAGTGCACATTAGAATCACCTGGAGGACTTGTTATAACACAGATCCATCACTGTGACTGAGGTTTGACATCATGTGAGATACAGGCAACAATTTCTCTTGCACAGAGGGAGACCAGGGGCTAAATGTGATTGTCCTCCTTCTGACCAAAAGCTCCTCTTCCAAGACCTTAGGAAAACTTCCTTCTGCAGGGACCTTCAGGACATGAGTGTCATTTATTTTCAAGCCTGCTCTAGAAAGGAAGATGCTCTATTAAATTGATCAGCCTTACAATATAAAACAAACAAAAAAGAATGCAAGGAATTTACAAAATGAAACATAATAAGATAAGAAATATGATTATTAGAATCAGGATGCAAGAGGGTGATTTCTCATTTTCCTTTGTTTAGAGGCTCAAAGATATTTGCATTTTTATTAGATTCAAAATGGTGTGAGTCATGAAAATCAACACATTTCTCTCTAACAGGAATCATTCGTCTTTGAACCCAACTGCCTCTTCAAAGTGGATGAATTTGGCTTCTTTCTGACTTGGAAAAGTGAAGGCAAGGTATGGCACCAAAACAGCAAGTGTTTCTTTCTGCTTTCTGACTCAAGCCACTTCATTTCTCAACAGGTAGAACAAGTGCCTCTTGAGGGCATAGACCCCGGCACCTGATCATTCATTTCAGCTTTTTAAAAACATGCTTACATGTGCCAGGTATTGGAGATACAGTGGGGATCAAGGACATTATCCTAATTCTCACATATTCTAGTGTAAGAATAGTCCGGAATTTAAAAAATAAGAGTTACAAGTGAGTGAGTGCTGTGAAAGAGAAGCTTAGCTAGTTATAGAATCTTACAACTAGTGATCTGATTTAATCTTGGGAGTTCAGAAAATTTCCCAGACCAAAAAAAAAAAAAAAAAAAAGTTCAAGCTGAAATCTAAAGTGGTTTCTTGCAAACACTGAAAGGGTGCTCATCTCCTTGTACCCTGGACTTAATTTGTTGCATGACACAGTGTACACACATAATGAACATTTAAGCCAAATGTAAGAAAAGGAGAATTGGAGTTACATAAACGTTTTATTCCCACTTAATATTTTGTGTGCCAATATATTTAATGATATTATAGAATTTACTAGCCACATTATGTGTATAAAAGGAATGGCATTTTATAAACATATTATGAATAATTTTCTTATGTTGTATTTGTATAAATAGTTGCGATATAAAGTTTGGGGGCTTGGGATGTAGCTCAGTGGTAGAGCACTTGCCTATTTTGCATGAAGCTCTTAGTTCAATCCCTTGCAAAAAAGAAAGAAGAAAGAAAGAAGGAAGGAAGGAAGGAAGGAAGGAAGGCTGGCTAATGATTACTTCTGATCATTAGCAACAATCATCATTGTTTTCACCTTATTCTGATCAGCAGTGACTTTGTTGTCAAAAATGTTGGCTGAGTAGCTTGTACCATTGGTCAGGCAAAATTGAAGCACACTGCTGGCTTGTATTCTCTCTCTTCAGGAAGGACAAGTGCTGGAATGTTCCCTCATCAACAGTATTCGGCTGGGAGCCATACCAAAGGTACCTGTGATTGGTGTTTGTCATTCTACTAATAGATTTGCATAGCTTATCAATGTTCTCCAGGTCCTGTTTAACTTGTTACTGCCCCAAAGTCACCAGCTGGGAGTGAAGAATGGACACAGTTTAGAAATCTTCCTATCTATAACTGTTGGATAATTTGGATTTCATTGTCTTTAATTATATAGATTGATGTGGTTAACCCTTGAAAATTAAGACTTTTGCGTGATACAGCAGCAAAGAAACAGTTCTCTTAACTCAGAAATTAACTCCTCCCCCTTTTTTAGAAAGCAGTGATTCCCTTTTCATCTGAAGTTGATGTGCAAGTTTAAATGGCTCTGGTAGTTCTGTGTTTGAGCACCTGTGCACACAGACATTGGCTCATCTAGAAGTCTGTCTCTGAGACTCTGAGAGGGAAATAAATAAATAAATAAACAAATAGCACATAAATCACTCTTCTTCACAGTGATTGATTTTTTTGAATAAGAAGCAATTTGTATAGTGGTGCTTGCGATTTAAAAGATGTTTCTTCTTAGAACATTCTAGCACAGTATTTATTCCCCATTCCATAATAGCTCTGCAGGTTGTGAGTCGTTCAAAACAAAGTTACATTCTTTACTTTGTTTTTTATTTTTTTTTTAAATCTGTCTTCTTTTATGTTAGTTAAATTTTCTGTGTGACCATATGTTGGCATTTCTTCCTGAGTTCTTTCAGAGAACAAAGGCCCTGTTTTATTTAAGAATGAGGGTAAACGTTCACAGCTTTCATGCCAATTGAGGATGCCATGGCTTGTAGAAATGAAAATATTCACTCTGGATCCAGGCTACTTGAAAGATTTAGTCTCATTTGGGGGAATAACCTGTGTTAGCTGGCTGTGGCAATGGCATATCGGTTCATGGGTCATGTACGTGACTGTTCTCTAGTGAGAGCCTCCTTGTCAACTTGTGAACAAAAGTGAACCCCAGTCACAGCCTTCTCTATCTCAGAGAAAAAAAAAAGCTAAACAAAACCCCTCACATCTACTTTTCTAAACCAAAAAATTTATAACATCTCTCTTATTAAAGGATTTCAAATAATATGTAGTGTTAGAAATTTTACCTCTACAGGTTCAGAATAATCCTAGGTAACCAGGTATGTTAGTTAAATGGGAAAAAGCAACCACAACATTTGCCCTTCTGGATATTTTTACCTCTAATATATTTTATTTTGGGCAAGTTTTCTACAATATTTCCAACAGATTTTTTTTTTCCTATTTGTATACCTCTTTGCAGGATCCCAAAATCCTGGCTGCCCTGGAAGCTGTTGGAAAATCAGAAAATGATCTGGAAGGGCGGATAGTTTGCGTGTGCAGTGGCACAGATCTTGTGAACATTAGTTTCACGTACATGGTGGCTGAAAACCCAGAAGTAACGAAGGTAGACTCAAATAGCTTCCCAATATGTGTGTATGTTATGTGTATGACCTTTTATGTATAGTATAATTGTAATATGTATTTCAAATTGTGTTATCACTTAAATTTCTAAAAATTTTCATTGATTTGCTGGCATGTTCACGTAGAAAACCAGCAAACACAATACCCTCTTAACATGCCACTTATATAGGCCAATAACCCAAATACCTACCATAATGTGTTGCAGGAAAAACTAGCCCAGGACTTTTCAAACTTGAATGTTGCACAATTTGAGATCTGGGAACTGATTAAAATGCAAATTTTGATTCAATAGGTCTGAGGAAGGGACAAGAATCTCCTTTTCTGACAAGCTCCATGTGATATGGATGCTACTGGTATGAGGCCAGTTTGAATACAATGGGTCTAATCTGTACTGTCCAGTAGAAATACAATGTGAGCCACATGTATAATGTGAAGTTTTTCTGTAGCCACATTTAAAAAATAAAAAGAGGGCTAGGGGTGTAGCTCAGTGGTGGAGCATGTGCTTTGCATATACAAGTTCCTCAGTTCAATTCCCAGCACTAAAAAATTAAAAATTTAAAAGATAACAAGTAAGGGCTTGGGGTGTGGCTCCATAATAGAGTGCTTGCCTAGCATGTGGGAAGCCCTTGGTTCAATTTTCAGCACTGCAGGAGGGGAAAGCAGATCGAGACAGACACAGGTGAAATTAATTTCAATAGAGTATTTTATTTAACCTAGCATACCCAAAATAGTGTCATTTTAACATGCTATCAATATAAAATTTATTAGTGACATATTTTACATTCTTTTCTTAATGCTAAGTCTTTGAAATCTGTTGTGTATTTTCAATTCAGACCTGTACATTTCAAGTGCTCAATAGCTATATATGGCTAGTGGCTGCCATATTGGATAGTGCAAAGCTAGATGGTTAAGAAATGCAAACTCCTGAAACCAGGTGTTGGGGGGCAAGAGACTGATGTGGTTGGATCTCTTGAGCCCAGGCATTTGGGACCCCCATTTGAGATGGGGACCTCAGAAAACAATATAAGAAAATAAACCCAAGCCTCCCTCCTCAGTATTGTTAAAGGATGGAGTTAAGATGCATATTTTAATATGTACATGACATACCATTGCTATAGTGAGCTACTCTCAAAGAGACTTTGGCCCAAGAAATAGAATGCTTCAAATTTAAATCTTGTTTCTGCAAATCACTTCTTTTTAGGAAGATTTTATATCTGAACAGAGTGCCCATTGTCTCTCTGAATGAGAAGACTGAGCCTTAACTTTTCCCTTGCAGAGACCTGCATTTGGGAGAAAGGGAAACATTTTCTTTTCCCATTGATCTTACAAACAGAAACTAAGTGTAGGGTTTAATGAAAAGAGCATCATCAGAAATACTGAATTTTAGAGATAGAAGGAAATGGTCAGGAAAGATCAGTTGAGGAAACAGGTTAATAATATAACCATGGACTTGTAGCAGAATTAAGCTTTTCTGAGTCCTAGATCATAAGGTCTATTTTATTCAGTTGCAAAATATGGTTCTCTTTCCAGCATCATTGACCTCACCTGGTCCCTCATTACACACCAGAGTTTCAGGCCTACCCAGATGCATTGATCCAGAACCTTTTCTTTTAATAAGACCTTCCAGATGATTCATGTGGGGTAGGGTTGGAGAAGCTTCTGGCCTTGTGACTTTGGAGACAGCAATGGGTGCTTAGAGTCACATAAGAGCTTTTGTTTCTGTCCTTCTAGTGGTTGCTTTGTTGGTTTTGTGCCATTGTTCCATGTCACCTTGCTGTGAGAGATCAGATTTTGCAGTGCCTACAGGTTTTTATGAATCTGCTCAGATCAACCCCCATTTGGAATGGGTTCTTTAGCCTTGTCCTAAACAGCATTCCTGCTTCTCATAGTTCAAGCCTACCTATTTGCAAACAAAGATCTTTTTAGTTGCTCTTTGCTGTAGTAACATTGAATCCCAGAAAACCAAGCAGGCTACCCACCAAGAGAGACTTGCCAAATAGGTACAGGTATTTGGCCATCTGAATTTCTGGAAAAAAAAAAACAGTACTGTAAATTACTTGTGTTTCCTGGCTTTCATCAACTTTTATTGTCAATTTATGTTAAAAGAATCGGTATGACAGTCTGGACCCTAGAATCTGGAATTTGGGGCCAGATTGCAGGGGTGCAGATCCTTGTTTTTCCACTTCTCAGCTGTGTGGCATAGACACACACTTACCTCTGTGCCATGTTTTCTTCTGCAAAATGAAAATTATACAAAAATATCTGCTTTTAGGATTCTTGTGAGGCATATGTGAATTTACATAGAAAGTGCTCAATGTACAGCCTTTCTCATTGAAAGCCCCCAATATGTTAACTGTTCTGATCACAGGATGTTGAAGGAGGAAATGGAACTTACCACCTCGTTTTTCAGATGAGGAAAATGAAGTCAGATAAGTAAAGGAACTCTACAACCACACAGCATTCAGACCAGAGTCAAGCCTGATGCAGGCCTTCTGATTCCCTACCTGATGCTCCTACCCACCTTCTACCTGAGCAATCACAGTTCTGGGAAGATGGCCCAAATCACTAAATGCCATGAAGTTTTTGCTTTCTGTAATTTGATAGCTGTCAATCTTGGCCCATTGGTTCAGAATATGTTCTGAAACATATTCTCATTAGTAAGTTTTATACATGTCTGTATGTTTGAGGGGCAGGGTGGGAGGTATATACATCAAGATGAGATTTATTTCATTTTTTTTCTTTTTTCCTAGTAGCATTTCAATTGAAATGTAAGAGCAGCTAGACACATAAGTAAGGATAAAAAAATAATTCTGTATGTAATTTTCAATTCAAACTCAGCAATATTTAAGCCTGCTTTTATTAAAGAAAATAAGTATTTAAGCCTTCCAGAACTATCATTTGGAAATTTATATTTCATTAATGGCATAATATATAAATATAAATCCCATTTTCCAAACTGAACAATCCATAATTATTAAATCAGGTCTTTTTGTTTGATTAATACTTGAAAAGATATTAAGCACTAATTTTTCCCTAAATACATAGAATGTAATACTTTTCTAAATTTCACTAAATACTTTCACTAAGTATATTACATGCATATGCCTCTTATATACTTAAACTCATCTCTAGATTACTTATAATAATACATAGGAAAAATAAATAATAATACAATGCAAATGTTATATAAATAGTTGTTATGGGTATTGTTTAGGGAATACTGATGAGGAAAATGTCAATACATGTTCAGGACAGACACAATGCTTTCTCATGAATATTTTGGATCTGTGATTGTTTGAGCCATGAATACACAGATACAGAACCCAGGGATACAGAGGGTCAACTATATATTCATGTAAATAAAATGTAAATCCATGCAAATAAAATCATCATCTCCAAAGAGAGAAAAAAATACATGTATATGGATAATGTTGTCCAATTTCTGATTTTGAAGCCTAAAATAACTATGTTAATCCAGACCACAATGTTTCTTACCTCCAGTATTGACATTTTCCTCATCACACTTTATCCATAATCCTCTGTATGTGTTACTGTCCCTACAAGAACACACAGGTGTTGAAGTGAGATGAGTTACATGAAATACACACAGCTATAAATACCTCCCGGCTAAATGATAGCAGAATTCATAAATTCCATCAAGTCAATGAGCAGTGTTGATATCTTCCAACATAACTCACAGGGTGTTAGTGGTACAGTTCAATTAAGTACATTTATAAGAGCCTAGAATCATAGGGTCATGGAAAAGGTGCTCTTGGTCCATATGTTAGGAAGCTGTTTTTCTGGTTAATTTATCACAAAAGTCAGTTTGTGCAAGTAATCACTTTTTAAATTAATATATCTATACTTTAACACTCTTTAAAAATTCTTTGTTAGTTGTAGTTGGACACAATACCTTTATTTTACTTATTTATTTTTATGTGGTGCTGAGGATCAAACCCAGTACCTTGCATGTGCTAGGTGAGTGCTCTACAGCTTTGCCACAACCCCAGCCCCATACCTTAATACTTTTAAACACATAAATGTGATTTAATTATTAGGCAACCGTTTAATGTTAGGGCTGAAGACTTTGTATTAAGTTTAGGTGTGCTAATTGTAGTTCATGGTTCTTTTTTTTTTTTTTTTTTGTCTATGCTCATCCTGAATGCCTTGTCTCAGATACCAAGTTTGTTTGCTTTGTTTTGTTTTAAGTGGAACTGAGACTTTAAGAACACTTGTGGAGCAAAGTGCAACCGAGGGCAAAATCCCACCATACATGACTTCTTTCCCTAACCTTTCAGTTGGGGTATCCATTGTCTTGTCCCCACAGGGTTTGAGAACACTTTTTTAAGCAACTTTCCTTTAAAGAAAACTTTCCAAAATATGCAACTAGAGAAACAACAATCCTCTTCCTTTCCGATAGAATATTTCACTGGTTTATGTCCTTTTTTTATAACAACTGACATAAACAGGTTTGACGACAAACATAAATCACTTGTGGCAAGCAGGCAAGATGAAGGCAAAGGGCACAGCATATGGGCCAGCAGCTTCCTAGCTATGAGAGTTGTTGGGCACTCCCAGGGTTTTGGTGTATTTTGCTTGTCTTTAGAACATCTGATGAATCTTGGTCTGACCAGGTTAAGAGAATTTCTAGTGTAGCATTTGCTTATGAGTATTTATCGTATCAGATTCTTGAGTCTATTCTTAATTATTGGGTTTCTTATATTTATAATCATTCTAAAGATTTCACCTCACCAAACATTTGATCCAGGCAATGGGGCCAACTTTGATCTCGATGTACACTCTGTGGAGGTCTAGAAACTCCCTGCTGGGTATGGTGTAATCCCAGTGACTCAGAAGGCTGAGGCAGGAGGATCACAAGTCCAAGGCTAGCCTCAACAACTTATCAAGGGAGACCTTTTCTCAAAATAAAAAATAAAAAAGGCTGGGGATGCAGAGCACCCCTGGGTTCAATGCCCAATACCC